GTACAGCCACTGATTGGTCAGCAGACAATTACGCCACACGGCATGATTTGCATAAGACTATGGCTTCGGAATCACAGATTTGCACAACGTTACGGCTGGTGATGGCTAATTGGTCGGCCGGGAATCACGCCACATGACATTTGCATAGTGCTACGGTTCAGTAAGCACTAATTGGTCATCAAGTCCGATGTTGACACTATAAAAAGGCGACAGGTCGACACACCGAATATACGCCACTCTCGTCTAAGTTCGACTTGGAAATTTTTTTGTTCAATAATAAATGTGAATTCTTCTTCCTGGAAAAAATAAGACATTCCCTGAAAATAAGACCTAGTGCATTTTTCAAAACAAAAATTAATATAAGACACTGTCTTATTTTCGGGGAAACACGGTAGTTGTTTGATCTTATTTTCATTTTGTTCTATTGATCATCCTTCACCAGTAACCAACATATATAACCTTTACAGGTTAGTACCCTGTAGGTTATGCCTTTTAATTATTAATAATTATTTTGGAATGACTTCATGATCTTTTGAAATACAGCAAGCTGAATGAACAATGTCCAGCAGACAAATCTCCTAAAAAACTGCATTTAAGCAAAGTTATCCACTATGCTGAGAACATGTATATAGATATTTCAATGTGATACTACATATCTGATGAATTTTATGCTTGTGCATACTGACATGAAATCTTGCTGTTAAAATGTTGATTGTATGGTAATTTTGACTGTGATTTTTGTATTGGTCTGCAGATTATGTAAGATAATGGATAAATAAATAAATTCAAAAATGAGAACATCATGATGCACTGTAAATCAGTAAATACATCAGCAATAAATACATCAACTTCTTGCAGCATGTGTTCAGTGATATAGTGCATGCACTACACTTGCAAACTAATTTTTTTATGGGTTTTGATGTCTCAAAAATCAAGTGCACATTATTAGAATTGAGAAAACATAGTATTAAAGCAATAAAAGTTATATAAGGTGATATTACGTCGGTATGAAATATCTTATTAGTTTTAGTTTTACTTTTTTAATAAATTAAACAATTGAGGATCTGAGAGTTTTCATACAATAAAAGATGACTGATTCCCTACTTGTTTAATTGATACAGATATAATAGAAATTATATACAAGGATAGGCCAGAAGTAATACCCATTTGCTCATAGATGATATTGAGAGCAATAAATGTCAAGCAGGCAAGGTCAACTATCCTTGGTCACATATACACTTCACTCAAAATATATGTTGATTGTGTGCATTGTACAGTCATTGTGCATTGTTAAAATAGTGACAAAAATTAAACTTTTGCAGCGTATGAAGTACTTGCTGTAATTCAATTTCTTAATACCAAAAATGTTTGTCTAAAGGATATTCATTGTTGCAAGTTGTTGAAGGGTGTTGTGCATCTTTTAGACAACATGCAATGATGAAATCCCCCTTCATGACAATGTGCATTTTCACATGGCCCAAGGCTACACACCTAGTTTGACACTTCAAATGGAATGTTCTGCACCATTTTGCCTATAGTCTAAACTTGGTTTCCAGTGACTATCACCTGTTTGAGAAATTGAAGGCATTTCTGGGTGGAAAGCACTTCACCAATACTGATGAATTGAAAGATGAAATTACATAGTGGCTAAAAGACTTGGTGGCAGAGGTCTACAATAACAGTATTCAAAAACTAATCAAGAGATATGACAAATGTTTAAACAACGGTTGTGATTATGTTGAAAAATGATTAAATTGATACAGAATATTCAAATATTTTACTCTTTTATTCCTGACTTGCTGTAAGATAGTCTACCGAGAGAAACATTTTTGGGTATGTTTTTATTTTTAATTTTTAAAATATGATTATAATCTTTAATGTTTTAAATGTTAGGTTGGTCTGGATCGTCCAACATCACAAACTTATCGTAACTTACTAACCAAGATGCCAAACGGTGCAATTATTTTAGAAGCTGCTTATTCCAGTATTGAAAACAAAATTAAACAAATGCAAGAGTATGTTGCTGAATGGTTAAGATATCAAACCTTGTGGGATTTACAACCTGAGATGTTGTATTCAAAACTTGGAGAAGATATTGGATGTTGGATGCATACACTAGTTGAAATAAAGTGAGTTAATAATAATAATTTTTTTAAAGTTTTATGTTATTATTATTATTATTATTATTATTGCTAAATAGTTCTTATTAATAACCTTTTCAAAATTCTAATCAGTCCTAAAAAATTAAAAGTAATGCTATATTAGAAGTACAGTAGAGCATCGATTATCTGACCCCCGATTAACCGTCACATTGGTTAACCGACTGTTCCAGTCGGCAAATTTCAAATGCCCGCTAGTGATGTGATGCTACAATATTTGGCTATGTCTTGGCTACTATAATATTATTTTTGTTAAATTTTTGCTTGTTTTAGCTGGCATCAATGGCTCAACCATTGAAGGGAGGCCAATATTTAAACGAGACTTAATTTTCTAATTATGAGTGGTTGTCTGTTTTGTGAGCAATAAAATAATTTAAAAATAATTTTTAACGATATAATTGCAACGATTATTATTTTAAAAAATTTGTTAGGCTTAACATCTATGAAAATTCAATGCAAAGTTGATTAATAGCGATATACTAATATACTATTTACATGGGATATACTAATATGCTATACTAATAATGTATTTTTTTCATTCTTTTCGGTTATCCGATTTTTTCAGTTATCCGACCAACCTGAGTCCCCAATTGAGTCGGATAATCGATGCTCTACTGTATTCATGTTTGTCTTTTTTATTAGATATAAACATTTTAGTTTATTGATATCGGAAATTTTATATAATTAAATTTAGAAATTTATATTATAAAAATTTAACAAGGTAGTTATTTTTAAATTACTCAAAACATATATTAAATGTTTAATTTGTTAAAGAAAATAACTTTGCAAAAATTTAAAATAACAATCTATAAGTGTTATTTATTTATTTATTTTTTTTTTAGCTTTTAACTTCCTTCTAGAAAATATCAGTAAAATTTTTGCATAAATATTTATTTTTCTATTATTCTTTTATTTTTAGGAAATCCCGTGCAACATTTGATACTACAGAAGTTAGAAAAGAAATTGGACCAATTATAATTGACTATGCTAAAGTATATCTTTCTAGATATTTTTATAAATTTATATTACAAAATAAATATTAGCACCAAAAAGTTTTAATTGTTTGTATTAAAAATATTTTAATTAACAAAATAGGTTCAATCCAAAGTATCATTAAAATATGACTCCTGGCACAAGGATGTTTTAGGAAAATTTGGTTCACTGTTAGGATGTGAGATGGCACATTTTCATTCTAATGTCTCAAAGGTAATAATAAATTAAATGAACTTATTACACATAAAATAATTATTTTACTTTGTAATTTAGTACTTACAACCTGCAGCACAATAGCTACTAAGTACGTAAGTACTTAGTAGCTATAGTGCTGCAATCCTAAGCTCATTAATCATGCTAAATACAATCTTGTTTTTAAAATAGATAATTTTGAAAGTCTGAGTCTTCTTAATCTATGCAATTGTTAAATTATTGTTTCCTTATTTAGAAAAATGTATTCGAGAAAGCTGTTTTAACAAAAAATCTTTAAAAATTTTTGTATTAGTAGTGACATTTTTCTTTCAATAAACTACAATGGAAAACTTATTAATTCTTGATGATTGTAATTGCAATAATTTTCTTCCTGTTTAGGGTGTATTTGGTAAATTAGTCTGTTTCAAAATGCCAATTTATTTTTTCATGAAATATGTCACTGTTTTACATAGATAAAGAATTTTAAAATGTTTTTAATATGAGTAATCTTCATAGAATTGTATGTGATATCATTTAATTGAGTCATTGGCACTGATAAATAATAATGATAAACTACTATAATTAAATATTTCAATAGGAAACTAAGAAATCAAATAAAATGTAATGTCAAAAATGTTTGTCACTTCCAAGTAGTAGTAAATAATAATAATGTGTGTGCTATTTGCTAGAAAAATTTTAACATTATAATGACAAAATTGCATCATTGGCATATTGTAATGAAATTTACATGAAGAAAAATAAACTGGCATTGAACATGTATAGTTAATAGGCACAGAAATCAAGACTATGATGATAAATATGCATTTGATTCTGTGATGGAAACTGATTATTTGATTATCATGATCAAATTTTTTGTTTGGTTTTTATTTAAGATGCAAATTATTTCTTGTCAAGGAAACAGTCCTTGACAAGAAATAATTTGTCTTCAGGTGCATATTTAAGTTATGTTAAATTAAAAAATATTATTGTATTAAATAGTCAAAAATTCTACACTTTTATACAGTGGTGCCTCGTATAACATACGCCTCGAATAACGGATGCTGCGAATAACGAACTTTCTGTTTGGCCGTTATGTGACTCGAGCAATGGACTGGCTGTGGACAACAGACCTTCCATTCGGCAGTTACGTGAGGCAAACAACGGTCTTTCTGCGAACAAGTGCAAATGATATTTCCACTCTTTTGCCGTTGCCAATGACAATCTGCTATTTTTATAATATATTAGTATTATTAGAATATATTATCAGTATATCTGAAGTACAGAGCTTCCGTTGGGATTTGGCTTGCTCCCTTGTTTATTACGTACATCACCTCAGTGCAGAGTATTTACATTTATTCAAGTGTTGTGCAAATCATGGCTTCTAAAAAACCAGAAAAGTGATTTCAATTGAAACAATGCAAGAAAACATCAGAAGGAGGTGAAAGTTGACAAAAACTTTCTTCCTTAGAGGTTAAGGAGTTTACCAACACTCATTATCCAAACAGAGCTGAGGCCAACAGTATCAATGATCACTACAATGACACCCTTGCCCATCATTTCCGACAGGTGTTGAAGAAGAGAGAGAAACAGACCATCTTGGACATGTTTTTCAAGAAGCCAGCAGGGAAAAAACAAAGGATGGAACAAGAGGAGTTGACCCTGCAAGCTCCAGTAGCCTCTCCTGAATCTGAATTCGATTAAAAAACAATAAAAAAGACCCGCTGCAATGTGTAAAAAGTCTGTATCTGTATAATTGTGTGAAGAAAGTGTACCTCCACCTCTTCCTTACAACATCTGACTACCCGGCATAATTGGTGACTGCTCCATTTTCATTTTTTTGTTATGGTATAGTACGGTTATTTGGTTATTTTATTCTGCGGAACGAATTATATGTTTTAACATGTATTTCTATGGGAAAATGCGTTTCATATAACGGACTGTTCACTTAACGGACGTGCACCTGGAACGGATTAAGTACGTTATACGAGGCATCACTGTATTAAAAATTTGAATTAATTTTTTATTTATTAAATCTCAAAAATGAATTAAAATATGAATTGCTGAATTTTAATTTATTTAAGGGCATCTTAATTAATATACAATCAAGATTTTAGGGATATGTTACAGTTTTATTCATTATGTGTTACATCATTAATTAAAGAACAAAACAGAAACAATTAAAAAAAAATTAAAAGAATGACATACAAAAGTATACTTAAGTATTAATAAACTTTCACCTATAAATTGTTTTGTTATCCAATTCAGTATTTACATTTTCTTTAAAAATGACTCCAGATGCAGATGAAGTAGATGGAAGATGGTGTAATGATAAAACAACTTGTTTCTCTACTTTTTTAAACATGTGTATAGAAAATATGCACAATTCTTTTCATGTTTGAGCCATGTTCTTGAAAGATTGGCTGTTCCTCAGAATCAGTTTTAAAGCTCCAGCTATTTTCTTTGTTGTTAATATTCTGGGAAGTTGTGAAGCCTAAAGTTTTTCTATTGTAGATTTTTCTCTAATTGAATTAATTCATCAATCGTTATTTTCTCGAAATGTGACTGCTGCATTTTCACAACAATCATGTGCTTATTTCCCAGTTCTACAATCTATAGTCTGTGTGTGTACTCAATCATCAAGAACTCAAATTTTTACAAATTGTAGACGCAGGTTCTTCCACATACCATTTAAGTTTGTTACCTTTACATTATTTCATACATTAGCAATGTTTTGAACAAGGTTACAAATTTAGTTCTACCAGAAATTTCTTAAGTTCTTCTCTTCATGAAAGTAATGATCTGAAAAAAGGTCTTTAGGCAATAAGTCTTATGAGAGATTGTATTATCTTATCCTGTTTGTTGTATAATGGAAGTTACTTTGCCTCATAATGCAAACTTAATTTTATCATGGAAGTTATCTATGCAAGAAGAATGGCTATTATCAAGCACTAATAATATTTTGAAGAGCGAGTTTTAGCTATCTTTCCATTTACTGTATGAAATAGTTTTTAAATCAGTCTTTAAATGTTTCTATTGTCATCTAAGCTGTTTTATTAAATTTCTAGATAACAAGGAGAAACATAAATCAGGCACATTTGCTATTATACCATATTTTTGCAGAATGAATTACATGCTGGTCTCCCCTGGATAGAGCAGGAAATCAGATACTTCCATATGGTAAAAACTGTCATGCCTGTTTATCCCAGGGAATGTTGGCATGCCAGTTTAAGTGAGGTTATAAATCCCTTTCTAGAGGGCGCATTAAAAAAACAAATGATTTTTATTCTAAAACTGTGAAGCTGTCAGCATTACATCAAAAACTATGATTATATGTTTAATTTCTTTATTTTGTCTTCTTTCTAACAATGTAAAATATTCTTGGAATTCCAAAAGTGCTTTTTTGTGTGTATTTAATTTTTATTTGATTAAAAAACACAAAAATGACACATTAAATTTAAGAAACTCTGCTTACACCAATTAACATGGCTTTGTGTGAAATTTGAGAGGAAGGTGTTATTTTTAAGGTCGGGCTAGATGGTTAGTGTAGTCCACACTGACTAACTACTACTACCACCACCGCTACTACTACTACTACTACTACTGTCAATAAGTCATTAATTATTTTGTTGTCTTGTAAATGAAAATGCTCTTCCTGATTTACAGTATTATTTTATTGTACTCAGAAGAATGTTTTCTATAATGTTTAATTAAGAAGTAGTTTTGTTAGATCTGATTAATTTTATATTTTAGTCACAGTTTAACCATCATGCTGGTAACCCAAGATTTCTGGTAATTTATGAGGCATGCCAGTCATTTTGTGAAAATATGATATTTATTATAGTAAATGCTTGTAAATGGAGAGATTTCTTTTCAAAATTAATGAATTTATTCTATTTAAAATCCATTATAAAAGCTTACAGGAATGTGGAATAAGAAATTATTAGCAGTTCAAACATTTAGTAGTTATTTAAGTTGATGATAATTGATATGTAATTTATATTTAAGTATTTAATAAGGTAAAAATTTTAAAAATATTCTTACTTACATTAATGAAATTAACTTTTTTATTAATTCTTAATAATTCACAATGACTTAACATAATTTTCTTGATAATTGAAATGCAATTTTTATACCAATTTAGTCTCGAAGTGAATTAGAACAACAGTCAATTGACACAGCTAGTACGTCTGATGCAGTATCCTTCATAACATATGTTCAGAGTTTGAAACGTAAGATGAAGTCTTGGGAAAAACAAGTTGATGTAAGAATTAATAGAATTTGGAGTTACTTTTCAGTTAGACTGTAAAGAACATACTCTTAAACTATATAGAACTTGATTTTAAATTATAAATTTATTTAACTGTATTTTGTATTAGTTATATAAAGAAGGACAACGTATTTTAGAGAGACAAAGATTTCAGTTCCCAAATAATTGGCTTCATGTTGATAATATTGAAGGTGAATGGTCTGCATTTAATGAAATAATAAAACGCAAAGATGCTTCCATCCAAACTCAGGTTGCTAGTCTTCAGATGAAAATTGTAACAGAAGATAAAGCTGTTGAGGCACGAACTAATGATCTTTTAGTAGAATGGGAAAAAAGTAAACCAATTGAGGTATTTATTACACAATACAGATGATATAATAAATAAGTATAAACTATAATAATAATAATAATTTTATTTTAGGGATCCTTACGACCTACAGAAGCTACCAGTCAGCTTTCAATATTTGAATCTAAATTCAGTAGATTGAAAGAAGATAGAGATAATGTATTGAAAGCCAAAGAAGCTTTAGAACTACAAGAACCTGGTAAGAAGTTACGTAATTTGATTTTGAATTTTTGAAAGAACATATAACATAGTCAAATTTTTTACATGCTGTTCTTAATTGTTAAATCCTTAACACAAAATCTACAGTTTGAAGAGCCATATGTGAATGAGCATTCATAATAGTCGTTAGGAGGTTCAGTTTTGTAGTATTGAACTATTTGTTTCTAGAAGATAGTGTTTCTTCCATATTTTATCACTTTATCACGATAAGTCTAAATTTTATAAGAGCATACAACATCATCATTCCATATGCTATTCTATCTGTTCTGTTGTCAAGACATGAAAGATCCAACATAAACAACTGTTTAAATTTGATGGTGATATGAAAACTGCAGATGTTTTTGAAAATATGTGACATGTGGATTTGTTTTTACTCTTTTTGAACAGCTTTCATACTCTAGCAGTCAATGATGTCAATAGCAAACCAATGTTATTATGGCAAACAGTTAACAGAAAAATATGTTCTTAAAACTTTGAAACAATCTGAAAGTCATAAATCTTTTCATAGTAATAGTAATTTACTGTGTAAAATTTCTTCTTGTTGATTTCATTATGTTTACAAAGATGACTAAATAGGATTCTACACTTGCATGTAAGTTGTCGTTGTTCAGCCAATAATGCATTTCAATTCATTTCATTCTTGGTGTAAGGAGTTGAGCCTGAGCATTATTTAATGTTTGTGGAATTTATTTATTTCCCATTTATTATTTTTGTTCAGGATGCTTATTTTATGATAAAGAAAAAAACTACCTTACTCTCTCATTTGCTAAATTCAAAAATCTAACTGCTACTCATTCAGGTGACTGGCATTCATGAAATGCTCTTGTCATCTCCAGTTCTGCATTCTTAATAATAAGCTAAAGAATAGCCATTTAACCATGTTGTTGCTGGGAAAAAAAGAAATTTAATTGACAAATAAATGTAAAGGTTGGGACTGATTGGATTGGGAAAGGTGCTAGGAGTCAAGAAAAATATATTAATGTATATATATATGTAAATAGATAGAGTAGTAAGTGATTGTTACAACATACCCATCAAGGAGTATAACAGAGATGATGAATTAAGGAAGGATTTGAGGTGAACCTACAGAGCGGAAGGTATAGCAAGATAAAACTTGCAAGTCAAAACAATTGGATTTTGGTGTTCCTGATGTTACAGTTAGGTAGTTTAGATTCTAAGAATTTTGTAAGTGGTTTGATTTGAGTTATTCTTGTTGGGTTTTTGTGGAGACTTAAATATTTAGGTAGATATAAGTTCTCTAATTGTTGGAACAATTTGTAAATACTAGTCTTGGATTTTGATTTAGACTAATTATAGATCTAATTTATAACTTGATGGTTTTTCATTGCAAATTACTAAAAATAACTTAATTTAGTGTTAACTGGAACTATGTTATATTTTTACTTTAGTTCATACTCATTAACTTGTAAATAGTTGTTTTCATTGATTTTAATAAATACTACTATTGTTTTGAGTTTTTTGATGATTTGTTATAAATCAATAAATAATTCAAAAAATGTTAATTTATCATTTTGGGGTTATTTATCATTTCTGAACAAGTGTTTGCTATTTTCTCTTGTCCATGTCTGAAGTTTAATCTGACAATTGATCATATCCATTCTTGTTTATGTAACATCATTCATTATGTTTAATTCTGGTAGATCTTGTGTGTAGCATCATGATTAATGCTGTGCACATTTTCTTCAATTCTTGGTAGGTCAGTTTTTAAAACTTTTTGAATTGACAAAATTATTTGTAATATAAAACACTAATAAAATAACTGACTGGAATATTAATTTAGGTAATAAATTTATTTGTTGTGGGTACTATTATTTGCATTTATACTTAGCAAAGTAATTACAGTAGAGCGTCGTTTATCCAAATCAATTGGGGACTGGGGTTGTTCGGATAACTTATTTTTTGGATAACCAATTATGTACAAAAAAATATATTAATTTATCCCGTGTTGAAATTTTTCTCCGTTGCGTGTCGCTTTGCGTTGAATTTTCATCGATGTTAAGCCTAACGAAGACTATTGTATCGTTAAAAATTATTTTTTTATTTTGTACGAACAAAATAAATATATTGAAAAATATAAAAACAATAAAAAATTATACTTCAGAAGTTAATTTAGTATCAAAAACATAAAAAATTTGAGTAGCAGAAGACACAGCCAAAGATTACAGCGCCACAGCACTGGCGAAAATTTAAATTTGTCGACTGGAATTCTTTCAGATAACCGACCTTCAGATAAATGACGCTCTACTGTACATGGAGTAATATTATCTTAAAGATTAATACAGTCGACCCTCCTATAACACTGTTGATTTTTCCATTTTATATGAATTCCATGTTCAGCCCAGCATACGTATTTGTAAAATCTAAGTGACTCGTACAACATGGAATTCATATAAAATGGAAAAATCAACAGTGTTATAGGGGGGTCGACTGTATATAAACATATATATTATATTTTTATCCACTTTGGAGGATCTTGTATACTAGGACTTGTTATACTGAGGAAAGAGAAACACAATTTCCAATTAAACTATATTTACTTTAACATAATTTTGTAAATAAATATAATCATGTATATTGCTATTAATAAAATTTACAAATTTATATGATGATTATTAATTATACACATTTATTAATAAACTAATGTATGTGTGTACTTTCAATTTTTAAAGAGTAAAACAAACATACTATTTATGGAATTTTTTAAGATTAGTTTGAATTTTACTATAGGTTCTCTTAGTGCAAGTGATGAACGATTACAAGTAGCTCTTGAAGAACTGCATGATCTTAAAGGTGTATGGGGTGAATTGTCTAAAATTTGGGAGCAGATAGATCAACTTAAGGAACAACCATGGCTTTCTGTTCAACCAAGAAAGGTAAAAATTAGTTTTTTTTTTAATTATAGTAAAATTACACCAATAGTGTTCTATTTTATATGTAATAATTAGGATACTAACATCTTGTACAGATATTCTTTGTATAACAAGGATGCATTTTCAGAATGTAACTAACATTCTGAAAATGCATTGTGTGAATCCATGCTATAGGATACAAAGGACAAATGCAAAACATGGAATTACATTCCAGAAGTTAGCAAAAGTATAACTATTTTTTTCATTACTAAGAGAAATATGTTTATTAAAGCAATGGATAATTTATTTCCAATCAATAATTAATTAACAGTCACAATTAAAAGTACTGTATTACACATTAATATTAATTTTAGTTAAATGAGGACATTTTCTTTTTACAAAATATTGTCAAAGTTTTTTGTTGATCTTGATCAGAAGTATTAGCAAAATTTTCATGGATGATGATATAAAAATATTGTTATTAATTAATCAAAAATTTGTTCTAGTGGGTTGCATTTGTTCAGTCAAGTACTGAGAGACTTTTTCCAGAATTTGTGTTCGAGTACCGTATTTTATTCATGATTTTATGATTGATTGCTTATGTGAGATCTGAAAGGCCCCCGGGTCTAAAATAGTAATTTTAGTAATAATGTTAATATTTTGTTATAAAATATTCTTTCGTTTGGGTGAGAAATTAACGTTTTCCAACGTGGGAAAAATAGATAACAGATGCTACTTCCTTTGAGGGAAGTTAGTACATCCTCTGTTTTTCCCTTATCCGCTAAAAATCTTGCTCAGATGGGAACTGTCTACCTCTCTTTGATTCCCCTTTCATCCGTTCACATGGAAGAGTTTCTGGCAGATGATTGGTCGTAAATCACGAGATATAGGGGAAATTTATCAGAATTCTGGGAGTTCATTGACAGACCTGGAAGAATCAGGACTCCACACATTTTTCTCCTGATGGCCAACGCCCTTAGACGAGCCACACAGAATAATCCCAGAGTTAGCACTTAGAAGATGTAAAGTACTATATTATTTTTCCGACTTTCCAACGATTATCGACACTACTGTGTGCCGGAAATAGCCGTTCCCTAACGGGTACTTTACGCGGATTCGCGTTAGTGTGCCAGGCCTGGACTTTAAGCGTGCACCGAATTAAATAATGACAAAGTTTGTCAATAACAAAATCAAATATTTAATTAAACTTCTATATACAGTATTTAGTAAAAATCAAACAATAATTTATTCAATGAAATTCAACAAGAATCAATCCGACAACTCAAATCAATCTATTTCTAACTTAATTCTATTCCCCTTTGGAATTCGACAAAATCAAAGAATTAACTTATAAACAATAATTCTTATAAATTAAAGATCCTAATCGTCACCTCAATATACTAGGAACCTATTTCCTCAAACTCTCAAGACTTTCTATAACCGTCGATCCACAAATCGAATAACTTCAAAATCCTATCGGACACCTCTCTCTCGTTCACTGCTATAAGCTCGTTGCTATCAGGAATTCACCTCGTTCGTTTTCACTTGAGTTAGAGACTTTATAGTGTGAGGTGACGTCACAATTCTGAATGAGCTCACTCTCCTCATTTACATACTTATCTGTAACATTAAATTTTTCTCGTTTATCTGGCAGATTATTTTCCGACAATACTTCGCTAACCTTTTACATTATTCTTTTTAACAATTATCGGGATGCTTTATCATTTTAAGGTTTAGCGATTCCTAACTGGGTTGTGGGGTCTCCCCCCCCTTTTTCTCGGTGCGGACTTACTTTTTTCCGCTTGGGAAGCGCAAGTGTGCTTTCTACGGCGCTTTTCTTTCGTCGGTGAGTTGGTTTTTCTTCTATTTTTAAATTACTAAGGTGAATGGTGAGGAAACCTTCGTCTTAAATAAACATAAGCCCCAAACAAAATATAATGAAAGCAAAATAAAAGTAAAATAAAAATAAAGCTCAGACTTGGTTCCTTACACCGAGATACTTTGATTTTGTGCACATATCGATCTCCCATGGAAAGAAGTAAATGAACTTTAACTCTAAACAAGCTCTTGCCTACAAGAAGAAGACGAACGACAACTAAAACAGGTTGTATGTTTAATAGCAATTTTGTGAGCTCTCTCTCTCGATCGTGCATCGGTTAAAGTATAAGTCCTTATCTCGCACGACTTATAGTCTGTAATCTGTAGTAGTTGTCTCCTTATCATATATTTGTATTGCTATTATTTGTTAACGTTTAATTAAATTTATTCTTGTTTATTTTGTTAAAGAATGTCTCCTTTAGAGTCTCTGAATCAGATCTATAAACCAATCACACGTGTGTTTGTCCGCAGACCGAATAATTGACAAACTGGTGTCGGGACCCTGACAAAAAAGGAGAAGGTGAATTCGTCATCACCAACTTCTGCTTAAAATTCCAATTCAACTATAAGACCCTCCGCCACTCGTTTCCCTACGTTCGGGAAAGGCCGTTCTTTGGACGACAGAGACTGGTCTCGCCGACTAGTTGCCCGTAAACAGCGTAGACGAAGATATACGTCCCCGGCTATCTCACACTTACCTATAATTTTAAAAAAAGTTTAATAACACTTATCTAAAAATATTTAAATAAACTTTACTAAATACAAAGATTAATCTATAAAAAGAAGTGACGGTCTGAAGGGCTAAAGTTTGAAAGCAACAACAACAACACTTGGTTGATAGGAAAGTTAGTGCAATGGTTTTTTATTTTCCTTGTCCTATCAGTTTTTGTTAAAGTAAACCTGACAAAAAGCACAAAATGATTTGAAAATTTCAATATTCTAAAATTCATGGGCAAATACAACATGCGGGGTTATTTGAATAAAAAATAAAAATATTGAATAACAAAGTTTACATTTAAAAATCATGAAATTTTGTATGGAGGTTTTTAAAACCATGTTAGAGTGAAACCAGAAATGTATTGTAGGGGGATATCCTTCATTTTTAAACTGTGTTAGAGCGATACCATGGAATACCTGTACATTAGTATAAAGATGAATAGTAAAACTAGATGAGGCTTCTCTTCATGCTTTTGAATGCATGCAGAGAAGCCTCATACAGTTTCATATTTATTATTTTTAATAGTGTCCAGTCACATCTCTTTTGAGTATTTTGACTGAACAAAACCATTTTTTTACAGATTTTGTGTCATTGACTTTGTAATTTAAACTGTCATTATCTTTGCTAGCACCTGGAGATATGATTTTTCCCCATGCAAAGGGGAGTTGAGATCACAGTGTCCAAACTAACAAATAACCACTACCATTTACCTATATTCCAATCCAATTTGCACTTAGTTATTATATAGCAGAAGTATCTCACTTCTGCTTGTTGGCCTGGTGCTATGTCTGTTTACACTTTGCATAATAATTAATTTTTTCTTTTACAATTAAATGCAAGTCACTAATTAAAATTCTTGTTTAAAAATATACAAATTATTAGAAATACTTCATTAATACATATAACAACTTTTTTAGCTGATGGAAAGCTGTTCCTTGAATTTAAATAGTTAAGTCATAATTCTCAAAACTAAATGAATATTTATATATTCTTAGTCATATTAATATTTTGTTACAAATACTTATAATTGTTTAATTGAATAGATAAAGGTAATAATAGAGAAGAGTCACAACACAGTTTCAGATTATCAAAAATTTTTATTATATATTTGTATTTTTGTTTAATTGTACATAATGTATGCTATTTTTCAAATGGCATAATGAAAAATGAAAAATAAATGGTAAATTTAATTGAAGTTTTTTGTTATCTAAAATTGTTCATAAAAAGATAAAAATGTTTTTAATCATATAATAATCATTTAGATACAAAATGTTCTGTTAAGAAAAGGTATTGTAAATTTCATAACAGTTATAGAATATAGTTATATGATCTAATTCTGTTAAGAATTATGTTAAAAATTTTAAATAGTATGCAGTATATAGTAAATATTTACTGCAGGATATTATTATTTTTGTATCATAAAAGTTTTATTGTATTTACAAATAATTAAATGGAATAACAATAGTATAAAATGTTTCTTGTTTGGATAACTGTTAAATTTTTAATTATCTATTAATATGATTCAAAATCAGACTTACCATAATAACCACAAATGACTTTTAGGTGTTTTATAAATTCAATTTTATTGACTCCAATATGCATTTTGGGTGAACACATTCATCCCTCTTCAGTTGGGTACTATTTATTTTTTTGGAATAACAATGTTTTGGGTCATCATATAATTTTTAAACAAACATATTTTAACTAGTTACAAAATCTTATTTTCACTATAATATTCTTGCCTAAATATTAATTTTCTGTTAAACTAGCTATTAAGATTGAAAATATGCATGACTAAACTATTGTTTATTTAGATACTGTTAAATTTTATAAATAACTTCAAATTAATTTTTATACTTTATTATGAATGAAGATGAAACAGTTTTGTTTTTATTTAAATAAAGCATGTTTTGTTGCTAATATATACCTCAGTAGTTGTTCAGATCTATAATAATTTTAATATTTTAGAGAGAGATTTCTTATGTTATCAATACTTTCAGTATAAGTATATTTTTAAACTATTAATATTAATGCTACTAATAGTAATCTATTTATAGTTTAGTTTATTCATTTAATGTATTTTAAATTACATATTATTTAATTTTCAGCTTAGACAACAATTAGATGGTCTACTAAACCAATTGAAAGAATTACCAGCAAGATTAAGGCAATATGCATCATATGAATTTGTGAAAAGGCTTCTTCAAGGCTATACAAAAGTAAATTAGTTTTAGCTTAATTTATATATTTCATTTTTCCAAAATACATTGAATTTTTTGAAATTTATTTTAACTAATTTTAGGTGAATATGTTAATTGTTGAATTAAAATCAGATGCCTTAAAAGAACGTCATTGGAAACAATTAATGAAACAACTAAAAGTAAACTGGGTTTTATCAGATTTGACTCTAGGTCAAGTTTGGGATGTTGATCTTCAGAGAAATGAATCAGTTATAAAAGATGTTATATTAGTAGCACAAGGAGAGATGGCTTTGGAAGAATTTTTGAAACAGGTATCAAAACTTGTAATTTATATTCAAATGTAAATTCTCAATAATAGTTCAATGTGAGATCTGTCTTTATCTCGGAATACTTATCTTATAATAATTTTTATAAATTTTACTTTATTGTTTAAATTAATCAATATTAATTTTAGGTCCGTGAAGCTTGGCAGAACTATGAATTAGAATTAGTAAATTATCAAAATAAGTGTAGATTAATACGAGGCTGGGATGACTTATTTAATAGAGTAAAGGAACATATCAATTCAGTTGCTGCTATGAAGTTATCTCCATATTATAAGGTATTTAAAACTACTTTTATATAGTAATTGCAAACAAAATGCATTTTTAGTAATAATATCTTGATTGTTTTAATTAACATTTAAATGATAGTTATGGTGGTTACCTAATTAAACTGAAATTCTTAAGAAATTTCTTACTCTTATTTTTCAAATAATAAACTTTCTTTGCATAAATATTATTACCATTATACAACTATATAAATTAAGATTACTTAATGTCCTCTAGCTATATTTCAGTCAAAAATAGCATTTTGAATTGGAATTTAACACAATAAAATAAACTACCAAATAAATCAAATTTTTTCTTATTTTTTTAAATTTAATTATATTCATTTTCTGTACTATAAAAATTAAATTATTTAGTATGTAATAATCAGTTAAGATTTCAGTTGATTTTGTATATACAGTAGAGCATCGATTATCCAAATCAATTGGGGATTGGGGTTGTTTGGAAGATCAATGTTTCAGATAACCGATTATGTATGAAAAAATATATTAATTTATCCCATCTTGACATTTTTCTCCGTTGCGTGTTCTTCGTGTTGAATATTTGTCGATGTTAAGCCTAACGAAGACTTTTGTATCGTTAAAAATTATTTTTTTATTTTGTACAAACAAAATAAATATATTGAAAAATATAAAAACAAAAAATTATACTTCAGAAGTTAATTTAGTATCAAAAACGTAAAATATTTGAGTAGCCCAAGACAACGCCAAAGATTGCAGTGCCACAGCACTGGCGAAAATTTAAATTTGCCGACTGGAATT